AAAGTAAGTTATCTTTTTCTACTGGTAAAGAAATATATGAAAACAAACAACAGAAAAAACTGACAGCTAATATGTAGTCAAAGATCAGAAGTTCTAAGGCATTTATTTTTTCCTTTAGAACAATACTAAAAGTTTCAAAGGTCTGGTTTTTTCCAGCACATTAAAGTCAGGAAACCTTGGAGAGTAAAAGGACTTGGAGAGTAAAAGAGGTGTAAATTTGCCTTGTCAGAATCATCAGACAAACAGGTTCTTTGAGATTACAGATTGACACATCTAAATATTTGCTTTCAGAGTTTCTCCACTCTATCTCTCAGCATTGTCATGCATGTGTTTGTTTTGTAAGAATTACAAGTAGTAATGATGAGAAGTCATGAAGTGCATGTATCTGGGAGCTACAGATGCTTCAGGGGAAACCTAAAAGGTCAATTGGCCTAAAGGAGAGCATTAATGTTACTGAAATGTCCAAGAAGAAAGCACCATCAGGGCTGGAAGGGTCTGTGCAGCTGGAGCAGCCTGCTGAGAAAGAGCCCCTTGGGGAGAATGACACAGAGTCTGAATCCAGCCAGAGTCAGCACTTCCTGCCCAAAGGGAAAACCAGCACCACAACAGAAAAGGAACAAATCTGAAGATCGACTAAAGGGACCATGCAAAATCAGTGAAATTTTGAGGAGCCAGAGAAATCAGCAGAGCAACCCTGAATCCTGAGGGTGGTGGCCAGAGACAGACCGGGGCTGGCTACCAGGTGAGAAGCCACAGCCCAGGCAAGAGACCTGCAGCCAAAACCTGATATAAATTAGCAAAGAGCATCCTAAGGAAAAGGAAAATAGAAAAGGAGGGGAATGAGATCAGAAATACAAAAGGGAAACCTTYAGATCAAGTTATTTAGATGGAAGATATGTTCTAATTTTTATTATATCAATTGTTCCAAGGATTGAACTGTACAAAAAAAGCTGACATCTTCATGATTTATTTTTTTGACACAGAAAATAAACAGATGAACAAAACCTATAMATTTTCTGTAGCACAATACTAGCTGTATAGATGAACACAATCATAAACACATCATAGCTACAACATGCTACCACACAATTTGAGGAAGAAATATCTGTAAAAACCAGGGTAGAAATATCTATAGAGGATATTTAGCTTACAAATATTCACAAAAAATCATAGTTCCCTGTGTCTTCATTAAGATGAAACTGGAGGAGAAAGGATACTGAGGGAAAAGGATTCTCTTTTAAAAGCATCTCCTTTAAAGAACAGCAGGGTAAAAATTGCTCTGCCATCTTAATAGTGCTTCACTTTCAATAAACATAGATGTTTTCACAGAAACTAATGAAAACATCCACTGWGTTCCCTATGATTCATTGGCAATCAAAAGCACTACCTAATTTGCAATATGATGATCTGGAGTATTGACAATCATTCAAAAAGATTACTTGGTTTTAATATATTTTGTCTAGTGAGAGGAGGCAACAGCTTTGCCACAGCAGATCATCATCTGTCATAACTGCCATCAACACCTGCTAAGAGTTTAGTGAACACATAAAAAACAGGGGAGCAGAGCCCTGTGTGTCTTCTTGCACCCTGATCTGTGTGAGCAGGGGTCTGACACAAAGCTGGGAGCAGAGGCATCCTCTGTCAGGCACTGTGCCAGTCCATTCACATCCCCACAGCTCCACACCAGACAGGGCTTGCCKGTGAGTTTGAATGAGTTGTACCCAGCATGTGAGCTCCAGGAGGTGGGAAAAGAGAGGCAAACAACATCCTGACACATCCTTAACTAGTGAGAGTTAATGAGGGGCATTCTGAGATAAATCCTTTCCTGTTAGGTTTGTGGTCAGTGTGGTTAGCATGGTGTGGTTTCAGTAGCCATCAATCCAATCATATTTCAGAGTTCCTCCTAGTGAGGTATGAGGCAGAAATAATGGGACTGAAAAGCTGCAGGCTTAATGAAAAATTTAGCAGTCTAGGGGGAGATAGAAAAAGGCAGATCAGAACAGAAAGAATGGAAGCAAATTCTTAGGAAGCTTTTATATATTACTATGTAACTGCTATGTTAGTACTATCATTTGTTTAAAATGTTTTTGAGTTCATTTAGTAATACCAACATTTTAGAAAAATATAGCAATTATCAAAATCTGGAATGTATTCCATAATAAATACGATAAGGTTCTAACTGTAGTCTTTTCCAGAAATTAATGCTCAATATTAATCTCAAACTTGTTTAACCATTTTCTTTTAATTTCATGCCTTTCAACAGACAGATATCAGCTTAGTTAAGGGAAATAGCACTGCCACACAATCTGCAATACACAGCTTCTGTTGGTAGGATTTTTTCTATTTGGGCAGAAGAATTAAATAAATGAGTCCCTGACAAGTAGTTATAGATATTAAATGGTAAGTATGCTAAAGTGGTTGAACAGCTGTGGCTGAAAATGGAGAGCTATCATATGTGTTATTGTGGGTAGCACTCAGGTAATTATTGCAAAATGATCTAAGCAGGAGAACAATTTGTAAATATTTTCTACACTGTCTTTGTTACTCTTCATCAAGAACCTCTGAYGTGGAAAACTAGAGATATTTGAAACTGCTTTTTGTGGTTTGATTGAATTTACTGCGTAAACTCCCTTCGGTGGATCCAGTCATCAAATCACATTGTTGCCCTTCTCATCAGCCTTTAGCAAAACAACACCGGTATTTCACATTTGCAGAGGTACCCAAAAGGCTGACATAATTCAAGTAAGACCTGTAAATATTGCATTTCTAATAAGGAAGTAGATTAACTTCATTTTTCTTTTTGTCTCTGCATGAAGATATCTGCTAGGAAGAAGTGCCTTGGACTCAAAATTTCTCAAGTTAAAGCCTGATCCTATCTGGCATATAAATACTGCATAATATATCCTCTGAATTTTGTTGGGATGACAATTCTCCAACCAAATATAATTGCATGCACGGGTGTAACTTAACTACCCCAAAACTTGCAGAACACATTAAGACAGCAATYAGAAACACCACTGAAGGATAGGTAACTTGTGTCTCTTTATTCCTTCYGCTATGAAGAAATAAGGGACAATACAAATCTTAGCTTTTCATATAAAAAGACACTAAAGTCTCCCTTCATATTCAAGGAATATTTTTATTGCAGTAGTTCATCATCCCAGTGTTTTAACTACAACAGAAGTACTTAGAATCCAAACTTGCCTTTTATTAAATACATTTCCATCCTCTTATATTATTTCAAATACCCAGGCAATTTACCTGTCCCTTTCATTTTGGCTGATACCTTTTTTTAAATGAAGAGTTATTATTTCTCTGCCTAACTTATTAATCATTCTGAGGAATAACAGATATAAAATGATTCAAAAATAGCATCTGAAGGAGCAGATAACTACACAACCCATCTGACTTGAAAACAGAAAGAATTTGGTTCAGGTTATTATGTCATCTTTTACTGACTTCTCAAGAACAGAGCGAAAGAGCTTTGTTCTGCCAACTAACAGAGAATAAATAATCAATATTTTTAAGTGTTTAAATTAATTAAATACTCAAGTAAGTATTCTCCACTGTCAGTGTCATAATCAAATTGATAGAACTATAGAATCATTTAGGTTGAAGAGACATTTAAGATCAGCAAGTCCAACTATTAGCCCAACCTGGCCAAGTCCACCATTAAACCWTGTGTCTAAAGGCCACATCTACATTTCTTTCAAATACCCCCCAGAGATGGTAACTCAGCCACTTCCCTGGGCAATCTGTTCCAATGCTTAATCACCCTTTCAAGAAGAAATTATTTCTGATGTCTGACCTAAACCTTCCCATGTACAACTTCAGCTAATTTCCCCTGTCCTATCACTTCTTTCTTTCAGGTAGGTTTAGAGCGATAAGTTCTCCCCTGAGGCTCCCCTTCTACCCAACAGAATAACCAACCCCAGCTCCCTCAGCTGCTCCTCACAAGACCTGGGCTTCAGACTCTTCGCCAGCTTTGTTGTCCTTTTCTGGACATGCTCCAGCCCCTCAATATCTTGTATTCAAGAGGAACCTTATCTATCTCTACAACTACCTGAAAGAAGGTTGTAGACAGGTGGAGGTCAGTCTTTTCTCACAGGTAACAAGTGATAGAACAGGAGGAAATGGCCTCAGGTTGTGCCAGGGCAGGTTTAGATTGCATAATAGGAAAAAAARTTCTTCCACTGAAGGGGTGGTTAAGCAATGGAATAGACTGCCCAGAGAAGTGATGGAATCACCATCCCTGAAAGTGTTGAAAAGACTTCTAGGTGTGGCCTTAAGGACATGGTTTATGGGTGGTCCTGGCAGTGTAAGATTAATGGCTGGACTCAATGACCTTAGAGGCTTATGCCAATCTTCATGATTCTGTGATTCCATCCGCTGCAGCCTCTGCAGTGACAACCACAGAGAAACAATCACTGTCCTTGTCCTGCTGGCCTCACTCTGTCTGATCCAGGCCAGGATRCCATTGGCCTTCTTGGCTACCTGGGCACAGCTGGCTCCTGATCAGCTGAGTGTCAACCACCACCCCCAGGATCTTTTTCCCTGGGCCCTTTTCCAGCCACTCTGTCCCCAGCCTGTAGYGCTGCCTGGGGTTGTTGTGACCCAGCTGCAGGACCCAGCCCTTCACCTTTTGAACCTCCTGCACTTGGCCTTGGCCATCRATCCAGCCTGTCCAGAGCCCTCTGCTGAGCCTTCCTACMCTGCAGCAGATCAACACTCCTGCTCAGTGTGGGGTCATCTGCAAACTGAGGGTGCCCTCGATCACCGCGTCCTAATCCTCAATAAAGACATTAAACAGGACTGGCCCCAGTACTGACCCCTGGGGARCACCACTTTGTTACCAGCTGCCAGGTGGATGCAACTCCATTCACCCCTCTCTGAGGATGGCTCGGCCACCCAACCAGTTTTTTATCCAGGAACAGTGCACCCATCCAAGCCATGAGCTGACAGTTTCTGCAGGAGAACACTAAGGGAAACGGTGTACTTACATTTAGATGAAGTTGATTACTCCACTGACCAATTACTTTGTATTCTGTACTCTTGTTGGTRATTTGATACTGAAAAATATCATAGCGTCCAGGAGCATCTCCATTTTCATTGAAGACAACAGGTGTTCCAGCACTCCCTGAAAAAAAAAATTAAAAAGCAATAAATACTTTTAAAGCAATTTTCAAAAAGTTAAAGAAAAAATACTAATTAGAGATTGAACAGGCTATTCATATTGCAAGTGTAGTATGAGAATAAATTCAAAAACCTCCTGAAGAGAAAATATATGTTATTATCATCATCACAAAATCTACTCTATCAATGATTCTATGAAAAGAATTTTAAAATGTAATTCTTTGCAATTTTTTTCTCTGGTTGTTTGGCGTGTGTGTATTGTAGAACATTGGGAAATTCTAGGATAAAACAGAAGTGACAATTCCTTTTGATATGAAGGAAAACATAATTTCACAGTAGTATGTATATACTGGGTAATACACACAAAATAGCAATCTTGTCATGAACTACACTAAAATTTCCCCGTTAAGTACGAAAATATTATTAATATCACCAATTTAGGAGCCAATACACAAAAGACCTTGAGATGCAAATGTTTAAATTGTGCCACAGTTAATACATTAAGTTTCTAGCATGGACCACCWATGCAGAAGTGTTTTATCAAAATAAATTAAAGGCATCAGGTGTGCTTGTTGCTCTCTCCTCTGTACATGACATTGCCTGACAGAAAGGGCCATTGCTGAAGCTGTCAAAAGTTATAAATCGACACTCKCTTCTTACTTCGATCAACAAAATGTTCAAAGATTGAAAACTACACATCTACCTTGGCAACCAGGCCAGCCAAATTAGAACACATTTTGATGAATTCCCTCAAGGTGACATCAAGGACCTGCACTCCTACAGAGACTTTTCAAAAACTAAAATTTTTATATATAGGTGAATCATATTTATAGTGAAGGTCCATTGAAGAAAAATTCAAGTGTGTTAAAGTTCTGTTTCAGTGACTGGAGATGAGATTCATCTTTGCTTGGGGAAAAACCCAAACCACCACAAAATGCACCCCACAATGTTTTCATTTTTCTCCATGTGAACATCCAAGGAAAGAAAATCCAGTTCATAGTAAATTCCTGCAGCATGACACATGTTAATGTGTTACCTAGAGGCACTAATTCCACTGTGTGTGGTTTTCAGAGAATGCCAAAAAAAAAAAAAAAGCTTGAAATTCTGGATCGGTATCAAGTGGAAGTAACCAAATAGAAGTGGGTACAGTCTACACACTCCAGGATTTCTGCATAAATTCTTCTTGTACGTCTGTCTGTCTCTCTTCCATAAAGTATTTTGTTCTCTTGGTTTGCATAACAGCTTTCATATAAAGCTGATATCCAGTGAAATAAAGTGTTTTGAGAGTGACAAGTGGTACATTAAATAATGTGCCAATTTCACARCTCTGCCAGCAAAATTCTGGCTGCAAAAACTTGACATGAGCAACCATGGAAGAAGAGTATCAAAAATTATGTGTGATAAAGACTTAAGGCCCCATGAAGAGAGACTCAACAGAAAATTTTGGAAAGCTCTTTATGCTTTGCTCCCAATTGTTTTGACAGAATGAAGGGCAAGAAAAATGCCACTCTAYGATCTTTCAAGCAATGAAATTATTCTTCACTGCTCACATAGCAGGTTGGTGCAATAAATTTCTTCCACCCAATAAACTCATACTCAGCTGTTGTTGGTATATAGTTATGGGGCTAACCTTCAAAATATTACTCTAGACTTACAATAGAGTTCATCTTTCCACTCAGAGCATTTGAAGACCTYATGGAAAAACTTTCATTTTTATGAACAGGTAGGAAATGTCCTTTGTATCCCTTAAGACCAATGGGAACTTAAAACATTATTATACTCAGCAATAAAAGTGCCGGCTGACTTAGGAATATTAGCTTGTGCCATTTTTGTCTGGGATAAAGTTAATTTTCTTCATAGTAGGTTGTATAGGGCTCTGATTTGGATTTCAGCTGAGAACTGTTAATAGYACAGGGATGTTTTAGCTATTGMTGAGCAGCACTTTACACAGAGTCAAGGTGTTTTCTGCTCTCCCTTCCACTGMACCATTGGGSAGGCTGGGGGTGCACAAGGAGCTGGGAGAGGACACAACCAGGACAGCTGACCCCAACTGACCCAAGGGATATTCTCTACCATATAGCACCATGTTCAGCACACAAAACTGGGAGAAGACGGAAAAAAGGGACACTTGAGAGCTGGTGTTAAGTCACTGTTATGTGTGATGGAGCTCCGCTTTCCTGGGGATGATTGAATGCCTGCCTGCTCATAGGATGTGGTGAATTAAATTCTTTTTTTTGCTTTGCTTGTGTGTGCAGCTTTTGCATCACCTATTAAACTGTCTTTATCTCAACCCATCTGTTTTGTCACTTTTACCCTTCTAGTTCTCTCCCCAGTCCAGCTGGTGGGGAAGGGAGTGAGTCTGCGTGGGGCTCAGCTGCATGTGGGGTTAAACCACAACACACATACAAAGASACTGGCTAGTCCAGACCAGAACCATCTTTCTTTTTGGTGTAGTGATGTTCTCAGCTAAAGCACAACAGCATCTTATGCTGTGCACCACAGTCAACAGGGACACAGCAATTTGCTAAATTGAGCTGCCTCTCCAGCTGAGTGCAGAAAAATGTTTCTCATATGACAAAAGTCAAACAACTTTTGTCAAGTTAATAAAATCAGGCTTGCTAAAAGCTGGATTAAGTCACAGAAGATTTAGACTTCCTAACACTGGGAAAAAAAAAACCACTATCATTTTGTTAAACAGCAGATTTTAGAAAATACAGTAACACAGAGTGGCTGCTCTAAAGTATAATTGATTGTGTTTTAGCAATGCTACCATAACTTGTATATTCTGTTAACAAGAAGACAATTATCTGATTAAATATTATTATAATAGGATTAAATAATAATTTTATCATATATCTTATATATATACACCACATATTCCATTGACTCCATTTGATGACTATAAATAGGAGGTATGCATGACAGGATTGTGCTAATAAATCATTTGCTGCTTAACGAGGAAAGCAAGGCTAAATGCATTTGAAGCAAACCTGTGGATTTTACCAATGGTTGCCAAAATAAAGAATGCAAGATGGTAGCAGCAGCCTCGAAAGTATAAGAACAGAATAAAAGTGTAGGACAAACTAGATGCCACAAGGCTATAAACAAACCACCAAGGGTTAGTTAGTATTCTTTAAAAATATTAGTCTCATCTGAAGAAAAATATGGCTTGGTGAATTATCAGAATGAACAGCTCATCTGAGAATGGACAGTCCTCAAAAAGAAGAGGTTTTCTAAGAAAATATATGCTTTGTTGGATAGTCCATCAAATTAAAGTGCATATTCCTGTGGAAAAACTGATTAACACTTTGTAGAGATCARATGATTAACCCATGCAGAGTAACACTGTAGCTGACCTTAACAACTCATCAGGTGTGTGGAGGCAAACCTGGATTCTGTAAACAGCACCCTAATAAACCCCATGGAGTGTACAAGCGCCTCTTTTTCTGAGCACTCCTGATATCTGGCACTGCCACGGGGAGTGCATCATTCCCATTGCAGGGAATTGCATCATAGGGCAGAACAGAGAGTGTTTAAATGCTCCTCGTATTGATCATGGAGGTGTGCCTGCTAAATTTAACACACTATGGAGACAAAGTAATACAGAATACAACAATGATCTGATGTAGGGAGCCAGGATTAAATAAATTCCAGTTTACATAAAAAATATTTTGGGAAACCACAAAAAATAGTTCCTGGATAGGGTATTTATATTTAGAGAATGAACTTGACTAGCTTCATCTGGGAAACACATTCATCAGAAAACATAATAGGAGAAATTTACTTTTGCTTAGGGTGGATGTTCCTCTAATGCTAGTGTAGACCACCATCGAGAATAGAAAGCAGGCTTCTTTATAAAACAGTTTCACTGGTATRTATTTTTAAATATTTTTCAGCAATCATTTAATAAATAGCTAAAGAGAAGTGAGGGAACAATGTCTTTGAGCCTTCACATTTTATTTGAAATGTGGTTATGTTGTCAGGGGTAATTTTAACTCATGAATGACTCAGGTAATTGTATTCAATCTGTCACCATTTTAACTAAATTTTGAATTTATTCTGGATGTCTAAGCCAGACATACATGGTACAATTTCCAGACTACATAATAAGCTTGGCTAACTACRCAAAATCATGCGTGAGCTTTTACTTCTTCATCTCTCCTTTGTGACAGACTTTTTCAGTTTGGCTTGGCTTGGTTATTTTTAATATAAAGACATAGTTACTAACTTATTTTGAGATCTGTTTCTGAAGGATCTCTGCTGAGCAAAGGACACATTTACATTTTTGGGGTAYGAAATAATACTCTAGAACTGAAATAAATTCTCCTTGCTGCTTCCCAGTTTACAGCAATCAGCATTAAACAACTCTGGGTGTTAAACTAGCACCTCAGCTAGAGATTTCAGAATATGTGTGACCTCACCTGTTTATGAGAATTTCAAAATGCAGGATAAGCTAGCCAGAAGAGTTATGTAGAAAAGAAAAAGAAGTAAATGTATGAGATTTTTAGATCAGATTCAAGGATGTAATGGATCCCTTTGAATGTCCAATACCTTACACAGACATCAAGGAGGACCCCTTCTGATAAGMAGCTTCTTTAGTACACATCATTTGTGCACTGGACTTGAACATTCACATTCTTCTGAAGAAATCTTTAAACGTTTGCCTTGATATTCTTGAGACGCTGCTCAGCAACTACCTTATCCTTCATGTGCCTACTYTGTCAAATTACATTTCACATGATTCTAAAACATCCCCACTTCTGCTGCAGATTGCAATATTAGATCCCTGTGAGGTTACAGCACTCGGCCAATGCCTTCCTGTGAAATTCTCTTTACATTTCAGGAAGTGGAAAACTATAAGTAAATGACAAGTTCATGTATAGTACTGGCCAAGTGCATATAAAAGTGATTAATATATAAAGGTTCTTAAATTAAGAACAGTGCTGAGCCTTATTTTTWAAAAATAATTCTTTTAAATTGAATCAACACTCTTGGACTTTTCTT